AAAAAAAAAAATTCTCTAATGCAATTACACTGTCAAATAAGGCCCAAAGCCTAAATGGCTAGTAAAAATTTATCAAAATTCTGAACAGTCCATGAAAAGCAAAAATATCAGAGACTGAAAGTTTGGAAAAAATAAAAATATTTGATAGTTTAAGAAAAACACATAGATTTTTCTGGAAAATTGTTGATCAGTTTTTCAAGCACTTGATTAGGAAGAATGTTCAAATGGAAAATTCAAGAAAACTTCAATTGTAAGTGAAGGATTCTCATTCCTTACACAGCGATGTCTTTGTAATGCCATTAGCTGAAGGTATCTGAGCAAGCCACGCTTGGATATTTGGTAACACTTTAAATTATGTCCCTTTATTCTTTCAGGCTCAGACAAGTTTCTTTTTCTGTAGTCTTTTGTCTTGTATACTCTGAGGCAGAGATTGTTTAGTGGCTTCCACTTCAATTTGTGTATTAACATAAACAACTGTCTTGAAATGTGTGTTTATGTGTGATTTTTTTTTTTTTTTAGCTGAGAGGCCCAAGTACACCTTTGACTTCTCAGAAGAAGAAGATGATGCCGATGATGATGATGATGCCAACAATAATAATGATTTGGATGAGCTCAAAGTAAAGGCCTCTCCCGTTACAAATGACAGAGAGGATGAGTTTGTTCCCTCAGATAGTTTAGAAAAAGATGAATATGACTTCTCCCCGGCCAAACCCAAGCCATCTCCAGAGTAAGTACTGTAACTCAGCAGTATTTCTTTACTGGTGATTTTTTGGAATGCAGAAGTCTCTGAACAAAACTGGGAAACATCAACGTGTTGTTACGGTACACGTACTGTGTAAATAAAATGTATGCATTTCTGGGGAGGAATTAAAGCAATGTTATCCTAGTCTTGCAACTGACCGAGGCAGAGGTAAACATAACTTAGCAAATCATGTTACACTGTCAGTAATATAATCTGTTAAACTGCGTTTTGTAAAATTCTCTGTTTTCCATCTTGTGCCAGTATGGTACACAGAACTACTGAAAAAAATGTAACTGTTAATTTTAAATACCGGAAGTTGTGACTGAATGGTGACTTTAGTGGTTTGACTGCTGCAGGCGTATGCAAAAATGCTAGAAATGCTTTGTAGTGCTAAACCAGGAATTTAATCTCATATGGATATCATAATGTCTACATTCTTCAGTATGTAGTTAATGCAACTCATGTAATTTCTTTTTCCTGTTTGGAAGTAGAAAAATGTCTCAAGACAAGAAAAATCAAGATTTTGGGAACATCTTCTCTTTTCCGTCTTATTCTCAGAAGACAGATGATGGTGAGCTTGTTTTCAGTGATCCAGTTAATCTTATAGCAACTGTTTTGGAATATATTAGGGAGTTTATGTGATATACACAAACTTCACACAGTAGTTACAGAAGGATGTCCAGATTTATAAAAAGGAAGGAGGTTCTGATCCTTAGAGGAACAAAGCTTGTATCAGAGATAAGAAAGTCACAGTACATCCATAGCCTGGCTGTAGCCTCAGGAGCACTTTTTTGAGATCCATTTTCACTGTAATTAATATTAATTATTTAAAATATGCAGTGAATGAATCTTATTCTAAACATACTCTGTGATTGTAGATACAACAAAATTGGACAGCGATGAAGAGGATTCTGCTCCTGTTTTCTCATCATCTTTTGCCCCTAAACAAACAGAGAAAATTCCAAGTAAAACAGTAGCTGCTAAAAAGGGTACGTATAAGATTGTCCTGTGAGCTAATCCATTTATTTAAAACTCATCTCCTCCAACTTTGTGGTTTAGCTAATCCACTGTGCTCTGCACGCGTGGGTTCAAATCCCATCCTCCCCAGAAGAGTAAAAGCCCTTCGTTCTGGTTAACCCTCATCTATATACTGGGCATGACATGGCATGATATGGAATGCTTCATTGGCCAATTTAGCCCTAAATGCTAAATCTAAGTTCAAATCATAAGGGAAGCTGTGGACCCTTTGTCCTGGCCATGCTCCCCCCTAGCCTGTTGTACTCCTGCACACTGGCAAGAACACGAGAGCTGAAAAGTCCTTGAGGCCTCAGTGCCAACTATAAACATCAGTGCGCTGTCAGCATTCTCCTCAGAGCAAATCCCAGACTAAAACCAAAACCCAGAGCTGTTCTAGCTGCTAAAAAGAAAAACTAACTCTGTCCCAGCTGAAACCAGGACAGGTGTGAACTTCTTGCAGCTCCTTAATGATTAATTTATTTCTTTCCACTGGCTACTCTAGTGTCACAACTTAATACTTTCCGCTTACGGAGTTGGAAAGTTCAGCCTTTGATTAGTTTAACTAATAGGAGGTTTTCACCCTCAAGGAATGAGTGAAACGAGATGACCTTGGGGTTGAGGATAGTCTTCCATAATGGATCTAACTTACTTTAAAAGGAAGGAGACCAAATGCAAAAGAAGAATCCCCAGGAAATATTTATGTCCTAAGTAGATGTTGTGGTTTAACACCAGCCAGCAACTGAGCTGCACCACACAGCTGCTCGCTCGCTTGTCTCGGTGGGATAGGGGAGAGGACTGGAAGACTAAGAGTGAGGTAAAGCAAAAGCCACACATGCAAGCAAAACAGAACAAGAAATTAATTCACTACTTCCCATTGGCAGGCAGGTGTTCATCCGTCTCCAGGAAAGCAGGGCTCCATCATGCGTAACAGTTACTTGGGAAGACAAACACCATCACTCCAAACATTCACCCCCTTCCTCCTTCCTCCAGCTTTATATGCTGAACATGACGTCATATGGTCTAGAATATCCCTTTGGTCAGTTGAGGTCAGCTGTCCCAGTTATGACCTCTCCCAGTGTCTTGTCCCCCCAGTCTACTGACTGCTGGGGTGACTTGAGATGCAGAAAAGGCCTTGAATCTGTGTAAGCACTGCTCAGCAGTAACTAAAACATCCCTGTGTTATCAATGCTGATTCCAGCACAAATCCAAAACAGCCCCACACCAGCCACTGTGAAGAAAATTAACTATCCCAGCCCAAACCAGCACAGTAGACTGTCACGGGTAAGTTCTGCTTGGTACACTTGTTTTTCTTCTTGAAAAGAGGATGAAGGGCTCTCCTCAAACTTTAGAGGTGTAAATTCTTTCAATTGTTAATCAGGCTTTTAGAACTGACATCTTGCAGGATCTTACATTCTGGAATTAAGGACAATTCCAAGAACAATGTGTTTATTGTTTGGTTTTGTTTCTGTGGTTTTGCTTGGGTATTTGTAGGAATAAGGTTTTTTTTGCTCTGTCTACCTTGGGGAATAAGGTTTATTGGTTGTTAGTGCTACTTCTAAGAGTAAGACTTGCACTTGTTTCTAAATGTGTGTTAAAGATTATGCTGGATGTTTGCCATAATTAGTGGTGGAAATAATGTTTTTTCTTACGTAATAGTAGTTTAAATAGGTTATAAAATGCAGTTCTTAGCACATGATAGACTGGGGTTTTTGTTGCTTTTAGATCTTTGCCTTTCTTCCTTTGTGTCTTTCAGATAATTTCTTTTCTTGCTGCTCAATCTTCTGCCCTCCAAAAGCACTTTTTTCCTGTGATACTGTGGCCTGTTTTTTAAAACATCTTTTGACCAACTTGCAGCTGAACTTAATGTATTAATTCTTCCCCAAAAAGATATCTCAAGGACATCTGCACGAAAGCAGCCAGTTACAATTGTTAACTTACTCTCTTAAAAATGAGAAAAAAAATATCTTGTGTGATATATTAAGTACCAGCGAGTTGCAGCATCTTTTCTTCCTCTCCCCTGTTGCTTCCCTGTTTCTAATCTCTTTTTTGCTGCATTGAGTCTAATCTAATTTGTAAACTGAATCAGCAAATGTCCGAATGCTTCTCAAACACCTTCAGCAGGGAAGTTCTGTAACGCAGTAAATGAAGATTGTTTACAGAAATAGCTGATCTCGAATAGCCTTTTATGTTAGACTTCTGTTCTGCAGTAAATACAAGAGAGAACTGTGTATGGAGTAGCCAGGCATGGATGCAATTTAACATTCACTCTCTTTCTCCCTGTTTTTTCAAGGCCTGGGTGCGAGGAGTTGTCATTAACCTAACTTGAAACTTTAAAATACAGCTGTGATCTGTTTGAGTTTCTAATTAACTTTTACACTCACAAAATAGGTATAAAAAGGCTCTCTTTCACGCAAAAGTTAAATTTCTGTCTTCAGAGTAGCCTTAGGGACACATTCTCCCTCTCAGTGCATGACAATATGGCAGGTTGCTTTCGTCAGTTTTCGTCTCTTCTCCTTTGCCAAGATTAGACATGATCCCAGTTTAACAGTGCAGTGATAACCTAGCATGCTTCATTCCTTGGTTATCTGGTATCCTTTTGGTAGTCCTCTTGATTCTAAGTTCATCTTCGTGCCCTGTATCAGCAGCCCCTTCAAAACCCATTTTCTGGTGTTGTAGTATTCTATCTACTCACCATCACACTGGGAATGCCTATTGTGTGGCTGGAACAATTGTTCCAGAGGTGTTTGATTTTCTGTGACTTCAGAGCTTGGATTTGTAAGGATAGAAAGCTGAAACTAAAGAACCATTTGTTCTGCCTTGCTCTCTGTACAGCCACATTCCCTTCTCAAGGAGAAGAAATAAAGGAATAGGTATAGTTCTTTTCAAACTTCCATCAGTTTGCGATGAAATGTCTTGACCTCTGGTGTTCACTACAGTGGATCAAGAGACCACTGAGCTTGCTTTCTGTGCACTATTTGACATGTCTGTGGTTCTGGTGCTTGATAGTAAGCCTAAGGGAAGTCTGAAGAGCAGTCTTACTCTTTGATCATAAGCAGCTGCTCACCTTGAATAGCCCCGTCAGCTGTTGAGAGTCAGCAGTGAGACGAACCCTTCACGTCAGCTGTAGGACTGATACCATTCCTGGACTTTCTGCCAAAAATGTGGGCTTCTTTTGAGAGTCTGTGTACACTGACTCCACTGCAGACTTCCGTTTCATATCACAATACCTAGTGGAGAGCTCAGCTGTGCTGACTGCAGTGTAACTACTGTCAGGGATCCTTCCCACTTGTGCAGGCGTTACATGTATGATCTAAGGTAGTGGTTCAGAATCCCACTAGAGTTAGTACGGAGAGAGACGCATGTTCTGGAAGCCATGGACACTGTTACTTTAGCTACCAGATAACAAGAGGTTTGCTGTCCTTTTGACTTGGTGGTCTGCAGGCAGACTTCACAGGAGTTGGCCAGTGATGACAGGTGCTGTTTCAAGAACAAGTCCAGAATCTGTGACAGTGTGTCTGTTATACCTCTCTTTCATTCCTCAGTTATTTCCTTCTCCCAAATTCCTTGTTTGTCAGCGAGAAGTCTGCCCTTTTTCTAACATCAGTCAACAAACTTGAGGACTCGGGCCGGCTGGAGTTACCTCTGATGGTATATATGCTGGGTAGTGCATGTCAATGGAGCACACTTGGCTTCTGTCTGGTCTGCAAATTCCACATTAACAGCATGAGGAACTGTGCGAGGCACAATTACCTGGCCAAAACAATCCTGTAGGAAGATGTCTAAACCTCAGCTCCCAATGTTGGATGTCACCTAGATGTAAAACGGATCCCTTCTACTAAGATTCTTTTTGTCACAACTTCTACTTGTTATCGTCAAGTTGATGCCACTTCTGAATCTTTTGCTTCCTTGCCCCAGATTTTTTCTGTATGAAGGATGTCGTTGCCTTATGGGACCTAAAATCATGTACTTTCAGGTAACACTGACCCCTCCTTTACTGATAACTAGCTACATGATCCTGGTGATGCTTATAGAAAGTATTCCTTCTGTTTTCAGTTGCTGTGTACTTTTTCCAGGCTTACTAGTAGGTCATTTTGGCTTAATTAGTTTTACTTTGTGCTAAGGCAGCTGTTTTTTTGCCCAGTGAAGACATCTAGAGAGACCTATTTCAAGTTGCTTTCAAATATGGTTCCTGACGTCCATCCTAAGCATTGTTGCTTCCCTCCCCAAGTCTTATCTGAAATGCTGCCGTAGCCAACACTGTTTTTTTTCCCCATCCATGATGCCCAAGGTGGCTGTATTTTTCGTATTGTCAGGACCCGCTACTTGGACTACCTAGTAGGTATTATCGCAAAAAGCTGGAAAGACGTCTCTCTCTCTCTGTGCAGTGATTCTCCAATGGGTAGCACAAGGCACCACAGCCAAAAAGTTTGTGGAGACACTCGCTTGTTGTTTGAACACGTTTCCCTAGTGATGCCGTAAATGAAAACTTGAGTTCTCACAAATGTCCATGTTCCCGGTATCCGGAGTGTTTTTACATGTGTCTCATCTTTGAGGTACTTGTGGCTGATATAGTGGAGGCCCGTAGTGTATCTGAGGTTTCTGTTAATGACTGTTTGTAAGCATATAGAACGCATTATCCTGTGATCTTAAGGGGCTTTTCCAACCTAAATGAATCTGTGATTCCATCCCTTGCCACCCATTGTGTGAACAGCCATACCAATGACTGTCTTTTAAAGATGGCAAGACAGGTTGCGTAGCAGTAATTGAAATTCTGTAAGAAATCCACAGATATGGCCCCTTCCCGTCCTTTTCTGCTTTTTCTGAAGTTCCTTTTCTCTGAGATGGACAGAAAACAGTGTCACAGAGCCAGGCGCACTGTCTCTCAAACTTAGGCAGTAATCACAGGGAAGGTTGTCCCCACTGTGAAGGCAAAAATGTCCCAGGCAGCAAGCTATTTCTGTAAGCACCGTAACGCATCCAACTGTGTTTGACGTATCCAACCTGGACAACTTCTGTTGCTGCTTTAGTTACTGGTAACTCGTTTTGTGCTCAAAAAGGTGAAAAAGTATTTAATGGAAAACACTGGACTTACTGAATGCACTGATACAACGTACGGCAAAGGAAACCTCCTGTGTATTCTGTGCAGTTTCAGCATAAAAGCTGAAGTACGTGTCCCCCAAGTGCAGGAACCACTCATCTTGTTTTAATATCTGCCATTTATGCTGTAATTGGCGTAGCTAATAAAATTTAATACTTCTAACCAATATGTGAATTTAACATTTTTAGTATCTCTAACTTCTAACAGCAAAACTAGATGTGCCCCCTAAACCTAAAAGAGCTCCCAAGGCCAAGAAGGTGGAAACTGTAAACTCTGACTCAGATTCAGAATTCGGCATTCCAAAGAAGACTGCGGCACCCAAAGGTAAGCGCGTCGGTGCTGAGCGCTCTGCGACACGGGTTCACGGTCGTGTTTATGAGGAAGCAGAACTAGTGTCTCCAAAATTGGAACCACACTGATTTATCAGTAAATTAATCACTCTGCCACGAGCCTTTTCTGTGACAAATACGGTGCGCTGACTTCTCCTGACAAACAGTGCGGGAACTTTTTAATCCCACCTTCGCTGTTGGGAATGTATTTAATAACTCCAACCCTCCTCTTTTTTTTTTGTTCATCATCAGTTCTACTGGATATTACTTATTTTCTTTGATCTCAGCTTTTTACAAGACAGTAAGATTCTGGTAGCAATTCTAGTAAGTAGCAATTTCTGGCTTTTTAAACCAATTCTTTGGTATCCTGGGTCTCGGAGTTCTCACAGCGCAGCACACGAAACAGTGTCCGTAAAGGATGTGCCAGTGTTGATGGCGAATTCACGTTAACCCCTCGACTGAATAGGAAGGGTGAGTTAAAGCTGTGTAATCGGTACAGAAGGTGACTGAGGACTCGTAGTACTGCAGAGGTCCTTGATCTGATGAAGTTTGTCCCTGTCTTGAACCAACAGCTTGGATTGCTGGGGTGAAGGGTAACTTTGGAAGAAGTAGAAAGGATTTAAAATGGAGAAAATGAAATATATTGCATTTTACTGCTGTTGTGAAGAAGCTTGAGTTGTAAACTAAATTTGAACTTCAAACATGTAGACATACTGATGTAATTTCACTAGGTTTTTCTTTCCATTTGCTGAACTTCCGAGTTTTATTTTGAAAAGAAAAGAAAACAAAGGTAAATCCTATTCTTTCACCTAGGAAAAGGTAGAGGGGCAAAGAAAAGGAAAGCATCCAGTTCAGAAAACGAAGGTGAATACAACCCTGGGAAGAAAACACCTAAATCAACACCAAGCAAGGTCAGTTCCCTCTCTGCTTTCTTCTCCTTGTGAAAAGAACTTGATGGCTCACTTTACGCGACAGGTACACGCTCTTCTGACAGGTTGCTAATACCATGGTGGGGGTTTAGGGGTGCTTAGAAGTCAGGTGCTAGAGAAGGCTTCCTTCACTTCTCAACATGAACAGGGAAGACGTACACAGCACCAAAACTGATCTGTCTTTTCTTTTCCAAAGAAATCCAAGAAGGCCGCTTTCGACCAGGATTCTGACGTGGAAATCTTTCAGTCAGGCTTTGCCTCCGAAACTGCCCCAAAGCCACGGACGGGCCGGGCTAGAAAAGAAGTTAAATATTTTGCAGAGTCTGATGAGGATGATGATTTTGATATGTTTAATTAAGTGCCCAAAGAGCACACAAATGTTTTCCAACAAATATCTTGTGTTGTCCTTTTGTCCCTTCTGTCGCAAACTTTTGTACATTTGACTTATTTTATGTGATAATGTAATTGATGGTTTTTATTATTGTGTGTAGGCATTTTAACATTTTGTTCTTACACCTACAGTTTTATGCTCTTTTTTACTCATTGAAATGTCATGTATTTGTCTGACTGGCTTGTAGAGGTGTTCTAGACAGCTGTGCTAAAGCACATTTTAATTGTCATGGTTGCAAACAGCAAACCTGCTTTTTGAAATGAAGTTTAAACATTAAAAAATGGAAAACTACCATATGTGTGTGTGTGTGTGTAAGACTTGGACTAGAGGGACTACTTCTACACGGTTTAGTTTTTTTTAAAATAAATATATTTTATTCTTTGCCAGGAGACTCCATGGAAAAAGGTAAACAGTATATGAACATAGAAAGCATTGTTAAACAATCTCAATGTACAAACAGAGCCAGTGAAAGTACATCACAGACTTGCTAGAATATATAAAAAAAAAATCCACTAGTGCTTTAAATGAAACCTAAGAAACTGACACTTTAAATCTGTTAACCATTCTACCACAGTTTTCACTCTGCTTCATGGTGATTTAACAAGGCCAAGAAGGCAGATTCTCTCCTTGTGTTTCTGGAAGTCCTAGCTGTACTTCCCTAGCACCTGGAAGGCTGGATAACCCAGCTAATTCCCGGGAATTGATTCTTAAGGAAATACCCTAGACTCGCCGATCCAAAAGCTGTAGATGAGTCTGCTGGTTATCATCCCATGAAGTTTCCCTAATGGCTTGTGAACAAGTAAACAAAACCATGGTAACACTAAGAAGTGTTTCTGCCTTGGAGGCTATCATCATCACTGTAGAGAAATGTAGCAGTTAATGGTGGAGCTGGGTCACCAGCCAGGTAAGAAACCACGTCATCCGATTTTTAAAGTGACATTAACAGTGGAACAAAGGACATCTGAGTAACTGGTCTGGCAGTCAACGCTGAGACTGATGTCGTTTCTGCTAGCGCAGGGAATTTTTGTGTACATTTTACAAGGAAGGAGATGCAAACTGAGGGCATCAAAGACAAGTTTTCGTATTAAACTAAATCAGACGGTCCTTTAAGCTTCCTTTCCTGGATGCGTACAGTAGTCCATTTCATACGGTTGGTGTCTTGATCGTTCTAGGTATGAGACACACAAGGAAAGCACCAAACATCCAGTACGGAAAGTACAGCCATACATTTGTATGTACAAAGTCGTCAGAAATGCAACCAGAATTTAAAGTTTGAGATCTGTCTTGTCACCATGCAATCTTGAATGCTCAGAGGAGAAAACAGAAGCTTAACTATTTTTTGCATGAAATGGCTGATTCAGAGTTTCAAAAGTTTGCATTTTCTAGTTTTAAGAGTTTAAACAGCAAGGAGTATATATCGATACATATGAAAATTTCTTGGTCCTTGTTGAGTTTTTATCTATATATATATACACATATATAGATATATATTAAGTCCAGAAACTAAGCAGCAGTAAAAATGTTTTTCTTGCTTTTCATCCCTGTACATAAGGTATTAGGAATGTCTGAAGTAGCTGGAGAATGTCTTATTGCACCATAGGGGACTGACTGACACTGCTGTTATCCACTGAACTCGGCGAGATACTGGGACTGTGTTCTGCAGTATTTCCATTTGAGGTTGGTGTCAGCGGTTCATGTCCTTCAGAGTTCTCCAACATTTCCTGAATAAGAGGTGGCATGGATCCAGGAATTTCCATTTTCAATGTAATGACACGTTCTGCACCTTTAAAAAGGAAACAAAAAGTCCCTCCCATTAGTATGATCGTACAACTTCCTTTTTGTTGGCACCACCAGTAGCCATTTCAGGGTACGTTACTTTAACGGATTCAGTGTCTCTCCTTCTATCCTTCCTGCATGCAAAATTATGTGAGTGAGTGAACAACTTCACTCATTACAAGAGAAAGGAGTTAGATGAGGACTCCTCAATAAATTAACGTAGAATTATGACATAGCAGCCGATATTACAACACAGGTAAATCGGATGAACTGCTGCTTTTCACTGAAGGAACCAAAACGGCATTAAGTGATACTGAAAAATCAAAATGTGGTCATGCAGACATCTTTATAAATTGGAATATACTTTACAGTTTTTAATCTGTACTGGATCTGCACAGACTACAGAATGACAAACAACCTCTGGCTGATCTGTTAAACTGGTGAGCCGAGTCCTGTAAGAGAACTGCAGCGATGCACATCGGAACATTTCTTTCCCGTATAGAAAACTGAAATAAGAATCAGAAGGCAACAAGCCATTGTTTTCTAAAAGAACAAATTCGGGCAAAAGGAAACTCCTTTTGTGAAGCTGCCTTCTGTAGCTTCCAGGCATCTCCTCGTGTGCTAATTAACCACAGAAGCAGGCAGAAACACTGACACCGTTTACATCTGGATTCACCGAAGCTCACCCAACGGGTGTTCTTGCACCGAGATGGCTTCGCGGCCCGCTGTGCACAGGGCTAAACAAAATGGCTGCAGTAAAGCCTGACGACTCAGACTGTGGCCAACAACTCCTACTAGTTGAGGGAAAAAAACCCGCAGAACCACACAACTGTGCCTGATGCTCCCGAGATGCATCAGGCCGACTTGAAGATGACAGGCACGCAGGGCAGGCGCTATGAAGAGGCAGACACCTCACGGATTTTTACATCTCACAGATTTTTCTTGTAAAGACAAAGACAATTTATAGCCATAAACCTCAGCATTCAAATACCTGGTCTTGACACGTTGCATAGCATTCCCGATCATCTTAAAATTTGAGTCTAAGGGAACAGGAATCTGTGCTTTTTAAATGTGAAGGAAGGCAAGAAGAGCAACCAAAATTAAAGAGAAAATAGTGTGGTTATTGAAGATCCATGCAGATATTAAGAGACAGGGTCATCTTCTTGAGGACCTGAAGGGCTCTGGCAAAGAAGCAGGAAAGTGGAAACAGATCCACAAGCAAGCACGGCAGAACGGAAGGGCTCCCCTAAATATTTTTATAGCTCAGTACTGCTGTAAGTTTAGTTCACAGATTCAAGTGGGTGGAGCTTGCTTTACTTAAGGGCAAACTGCAACCTTCAGATAACCTGCCAAGTGGTTCCTTTTTAGGATACTTTTGCTTCCAGTTCTGGTATTTCCCTTCTAAGTTACTCTTTTAGTACCAATCCATCCAATTAACTTGCTCACTTCATAAACACAGCAATAGCTTAATCTTTTACCTTGGGTAGATATATATTGTTTAAAGTGTAACAGTTCGGGTTTTAACGTAAAACAAGTGTATGTGAGTGATTTAACAGCTTCCCCCCGCCCCGAAGTCTTCTCAAAAAAACATGCCAAATGAAATCAGTTATTTTTTCGAAAGCATAAACCCAACCTATAGCTACGTATGTACCTGCACATACAAGCTCACGTGTTTCCTCATCTACCAGGGGTAGCAAATGTGCTGTTAAGCAAGCACAGTAGGAAAGTGGAACTGCGTCAACCACGTACATGACAAGAACCGTGGCACTTTAGTCTCTCCGCGTTCAGGCTGGTACATCTCGACACAGCTCCCCACAAGCCTGGAGGCGAACACAGGTGAAACAGCGGGACGCGACTGAAATCGGGTCTTGGGGGATACAGGGGTCCGCAAACGAGAGGAACAGTCACCTTCGAAGCCCCAGCATGGGGCAGAACAGGGGTGCACAGAGGTTGCTATCGAGCTGACACACCACTGACTGTCCGCTGCCGCTTCCAGAAGAGCTGCCCAGCCTCCCCTCCCAGGCTGGACATGCCGAGGGGCCAAGCAGTGAGCGGGGAACCTCTCTGACAAACCTCTAGAGAATTTGCGCGATAGCGCTTAGACCGTGTGTATTTGACACGATCAAATGATCACATACAAGAACTACACAAAACGTTAAACCAAAACTGATCCATGTGTAAGTACGGTTAGTTTGGATTAGAGGGGCTGAATTTCCAAAATCCTGGATCAAACCAGTTCTAAATCTCCAGTATGCCAAACCACAGTTTTGGGGAATTTGGGATGCTCAAGCATTTTCTGCCGTCTGTAAACAGACTTTGTTTTTCTGAAAGCCATTAGTGATACAAAGTACATGTTGACCTGCACCCCTCGTAAACATTAACGAAGGTTTGATTCAGGGGTTTAGCTTATCTCAAAATGACCAAATTTGAAAGAGTTCATGGCAATAGTTTGCAAACCCACTCACACCGAAGTAAGCAGGTGTTTTCACTGTAAGTTGCCCGAAGAACGTAGCACCGTGTATGTTTAAAGCAGAACCGATTTAAACACAGGAGTTACATGAAGAAGGGAAGAGAAAGGTCATGAGGACCTCTCTCAGAAATATTAAAAAAATAACAGTGCGAGTCTCTAGGCCAGTTTCCTCTGAAACGTAACACTGACACTACTGAGGAGACACTGTACCTTTTGCACTGATGCTGCGAAGATCCGTGATTTTCATTAAGATCTTTGGGAACATATGAGGCTTGTTGGGTCGTCTCTTTCGGATATAAATCTTCAGTGCTTCAAGCAATGGTTCCTGAAGCTTATCCACTTTCATTGGTTCTTCAAGGTCCTGACGATCTGTAGGAAAGTATATCACTTGTATGATTTTAAATATTTATTTTTTTTTTTTTACAAATTCCAAATCACAGAAGCTCCTCCATGTTCTTGATTAGAACTCCATGAATTTCATCTTTCTCTCTACTTGAGAGTAATACTACTACTCTATAGGTGAGTATTCCATAGGAAGCGGATAAACCATGGCTTTCTGAAACTTAGATTCATTTTTCCTTGGTGACTGGAGAGGTTTGCCGTTTGAGTGGTCCAGAATTACCAGTTTGCTCTTGTACCTCCCTCTCCAAGGGGAAAACACCTTGCTGCAACCAATTTCAGAATTAATTTTGTATGCATCACACAAGCCACCTAGGTATACAAAGAGATTACGGCTAACTTATTTTTGTCTCAATACTGAAATAAAGTGAGTTCCCACCAGGTATCAGCAGATGGCAGTGCGAGCTTGAGTGACAACAGACGTCACCCACAAACCAGGGCGCACTGGTCCCATATAAAGGACATCTCGGAACCTGTCAATGCTTTTGATGGGTTACGGTTAGAGACACCTGGAATCGGAACGGTTTTGTACTAAAAGGCTGTTGCCAACACTGACTGGCTCTGGCTTGGCCATTCTCTAGTGGCACCTTGTCTGTGATTCAACAAAACAGCCCGCCCGAACAAGGTGTCTTTCTGTGGCTAGTCC